GTTGTGGATGCTTACCTGGCCCGCCGAAGTGTCTCGGATATTCACCACCTTTCTTAAGGGGGGGGGGGGGGGGGGGGGGGGGGGGGTAGTGAAAGGATTTTTTCTGGATTCCTTACTGGGTCACATTGTACGTGTACAACCCCGATTTTCGGAAAACCAGGCTCGGCCCGCCGACCTCGCCTTCCGAGCCACCACCGCATCGCCTTCGGGTTTTCCAACCCCGAACCTGCACCCAACCATCTCGCGACCCCGCAACCTCGGCCTAACTAGCTTCGCTATATTAGTCCTAGGCCTCGTTGTGTCCTCAGACGTTGTAATCACTTCCGCTTTATTGAGTTCTGCGCCCTCTTCTTTTCACAACTCATAACAGTCTGCCCAACAACCATTCTGTTCGCGAGATTTCCCCGTTTGTTACAACCGGGTGGCAACCACCGCAGAGAGGTGTGTCCCAGGTTTTGGCGTCATTGGGAAAAACCCCTTTCACCCTCCAGAACAGAAACCCGTTTCGGGGATTGTGGTACTTCCAAGATGGTACCTTGATGTTTCCACACGATATCCTTTTTAGTCAGTTTACCGCCTTTGACCGTAATAATCCACATAAAACCGTGGAATGTGAACAGAGAATCGCCGCACCCCCATCTCAAATCGCCCTCTTCCCAGTCCACCCAGCTCAGAGCCAGCAGCTCCCTTGCCCCAACCCTCCCATATCTCCCATAACCAGCTTCGCATTACGTCTTTTTCTCCCAAGGTAGTGCCTGTCGCATTAGGTCCGTACCCGATCCTGCTGCCTGTTAACCTCGGCTCTACCTAATCTTGAGCTAGGAGTGGTATCGCAGCCCAACAACAGCTTGGCACGACTGATTCTCTTTCTTAATACAGATAGTCTACGTGTCTTGAAGGATGGGGCCTCCTCGTGGGAGAGGTACGCGCCGGCTTCTCGTCTTATTTTTTTCTGTTGTCAGCTGACGGCGCTAATTGTCATAGCACGCTGCATTGCAGTTTTCGGAACGTTCAACCATTTGGTGATCACACGTGCCATTCATTTGCTCGTTTTTTTCTGCTACTCTATGTTCAGGCGGGTTCGGCGGCGGGTTTGGCGGCAGAGGCGGCGGAGGAGGTCGCGGAGGATTCGGCGGAAGGGGCGGAGGTGGAGGCCGCGGGGGTTTCGGCGGACGTGGCGGGGGCCGAGGGGGCGGAAGGGGTAGAGGGGGAGGCCGCGGAGGCGGAAGAGGCGGAGGGCGCGGGGGCATGAAGGGCGGAGCCAAGGTTGTTGTTGAACCCCATCGCCACGAGGGCGTGTTCGTTGCTCGCGGGAAGGAGGATGCCCTCGTCACGAGGAACATGGTGCCCGGGGAGAGCGTCTACGGCGAGAAGCGAATCAGCGTCGAGGTGAGTTTGTTTTGAATTACCCACATTGTGTATCCTCGTTTGCCGTGTTCTGTGTTCGCCACATTTTCCAGTCTTACTTACACAAAATCTTCGAATATCGTGCCCGAAACCACTGCAGCTGGAGGAGGGGAACAAGGTGGAGTACCGAGTGTGGAACCCTTTCCGATCTAAGCTCGCGGCCGCTATTCTCGGTGGCGTCGACAACATCTGGATTGTACGTACTCGTTGCAAGCTTTTGTCCCATATTTGTATCAGACAGAAGTTGGTGTTATTGTCGAAGCTTGCCTTGTGATTCCATTCTTATTCGGTTTGACTCTACCGTTGATTCTCGTTGAATGCTTGCAGAAACCCGGGTCTCACGTTCTCTACCTTGGTGCTGCCTCTGGGACTACCGTCTCCCACGTCTCCGATATTGTTGGCCCGGTATGTTTCTTCTTCAGAGGGAATTTCTACACCTGCATCCTCACAGGTCGTGGGTGCATTCTTGCCAAGCCTGAACCCTCGGACCCTTCCCGTCTGTTTTTTCTTTTCAATCACGGTGATTCCTCTCCCTCGTCTTGTCTGCGGCCCTTCCCTTTCTCTTTCCTCAGACGGGGATCGTGTACGCCGTAGAGTTCTCTCACCGGTCCGGTCGCGATCTCGTGAACATGGCCAAGAGGCGAACCAACGTGATTCCCATTATCGAGGATGCCAGGCACCCGCAGCGCTACCGCATGCTTGTCGGCATGGTGGATACGATCTTCGCTGACGTGGCGCAACCAGATCAGGTTCTTTTCTTTACCTGAAGCAAGGTTTGATGATACGAAGGTCAGCTGCCCTGTACGTAGCATGCTTCATTGTATGTTTTAACTTGTGCCTTTGCGGTTGCGGTATGCAGGTTGAGGCAATCCGAAAGTTGTTCTTTTCTGAATCCTAGCGGGAAAGCTCCCATTCCCGCTATAAGCATTTCCACATATCGCTATAAGGGAGGAGAGTGGCCAGCGAATGATGATTGGACTGGAGTCGGATTCCCCATACACGAATGTAAAATCGTGAAATTCTGTCCTTCGAGGCTGATGCTGCGACCCACTCTCCTCCCGTACATAACGATGTTGATCTTCGTCAGACTGAGTTACTTTGTCATGCTTGCTTTCTTTTGCCGGCCTCTCTCTGATATTTCTTGAATCTCCTTTTTCTTTAATCTTCTCTGGTGGTGATGCATTTTCTTCTACCCTTTTTTGGGCGATGCACCCTGCGTTCTCTGTCGTCCCCACCAGTGGCTCCTTCCCCTTGTTCTCTTCCTTCCGCTGCCTTGTTTCCCCCCCAAATCCCCCTCCCCATTGCCTCCCCCGATTCCCCCTTGCTTCCCGTTGCCCTACCGCCTGTTTCCCCTTGCCGTCCCTCCCTCTCCCTGTCAACATCCCTCCCCCTCGTTATAAACCCCCTCAGGCTCGTATTGTTGCCTTGAACGCTCACTACTTCCTCAAGACTGGCGGGCACTTCGTTATAAGTATCAAGGCCAACTGTATCGATTCTACAGTACCCGCAGAAGCAGTTTTCGCGAAAGAGGTGGCGAAATTGCAGCAGGAGCAGTTCAAGCCAGCTGAGCAGCTGACGCTGGAGCCATATGAAAGAGACCACGCATGTGTGGTGGGTGGTTACCGCATGCCCAAGAAGAAAAAGGATGCTAAATAGATAGCCTGTTTTTAATGTGACCTTATCCAACAATAACCGTATTTTTCCGTACATCTCTACCAACTGTGAAAGATTTCTTAGAGCAGAGACCGGTACCGTAAGCCCCCGGATAGAAGCGCATGCCTATGATAAGCGCCGGCGCTTATAAAAGGATGAGGGCGCTTATATCCGGTCCTCGATTATAAGCGCACCCCCTAGAAAAAGATGATATATTATAAGCGCATGTTTGTTTTTTATTTGAAAACCCTTCACATATCAGAAACGAATTTCACATAATCAGGGAAACGAACCACAATTTCGATTTCCCACACTCTGAACTCGCTTTTTGCGCGTCTAGTCAGCATGTGCTGTAATTCTGTCAGGGTGACCTGGCAGGGAATCACTCCCTGCCAAGCTGCGCGAGAATCAGATTAGCGACCCTACATGTTTTCGACTCGATTACAATCGGCAGAACGAGATATACAGTTTGGTGTAAAACAAATATATATTCTTTTTGCCATTTTATAAGCGCCGGCGCTTATAAAATTCCTCAATTATAAGCGCACCCCCTAAAAAACAGTGTTTTTTTATAACCCCAGGGGCGCTTCTATCCGGGGGCTGACGGTATTTGGAAGACAGAGCAGGCACACCTTGTCACCAGGGCCCAAAACAGGTTTTGGCTCACTCTTTCAAATCAGGGTGGCAGGCCCCCCGTACCCTGACTGGTAGGGTAACTTTTCTCTTACACTGATTGTAGCAGCCTAATAATTCTGGTACACTGATGTCAGCAGGGTAATATAGTCCATACACTGTTTCCAACGCACAAATAATTACTACACCAACAGTCACTACTCACTAGAATTTCCTGCACACAAACTTTTCTACTTCGTTAAATAAACCCTACTAAAGCCACTACTCAACGTCTGCTGCAGTAGCGACTGCTTCGTCCGCAAATTGTGCACTGCTGGCCTTCATTGTGCAAATTGGGAATCACAAAGCCCAAGGGCCTCTGGCAGTACGGTTTCCGCGCACCGCGGGAACTGCATGGCAGAGGCTGCAAGACCACAATGACTGCCAGGTGGTACAAACGACAGCACGAAACCCACCTGGCGCACAATTTTTCACGGTTGGCAGTGAGCGATGCTTCGGGAACGCCAAGAAAACCGGGTACTCAACAGACCAATCGTAAGCGTGCGCGTGCATCCGCACTGCTTCTACATTGGCGCGCTAGTGGGTGTACCATACAAATGGGCCAGTGGGACCGTGCATTTTATCTTGGCGCGTACTGTGGCGGAATCCTCGGTAAAACAGAGTTTCGGTAAAAGGGTAGTTGAGCCCCTACCCTGATACAGTCAGTGTAACAGGAAATCCTACAAGAGTCTTTATATCGTATCCTGATTTCACTAGGGTAAAAATTTCCATAGCCTGATTTCACAAGGGTAACTGCCAGAAAGTGGCCTACCATCAGGGCAAAAAGGGTAAAATACCCTTGAAATTTGGGGCCTGCTTGTCACATCATGTGCATGTACGAAACCTGCCTGATGTGCCAACCCACCAGGATGTAGCTTTTTCATCTTGATCATGTGGCGGTTCAAGATCTGAACCTATCTCTTATGGTGTTGTTGAATCAACCAGACAACTTGACTTGTTGGAAGAGAATGCCTGAGAGCTTCCACTTGGTTGCACCAAATGTTTCAAAGGTTTTTCAAATACACACATCGCTGTCATGACTATAATGAAGCAGGATCGTCCGGAACTTAGCCCACAATCACACACTACATTTGATTTCCCCAAGCCATTATCAACACACTGTTGCCTGTTACCAACCGCTTGTTACACATAATTCTGCTCTGCTGCTACCACCCATCTCACCATCTCACACTACAAAGCAACAGGCTCCCTACCGCTTGTTACACATAATTCTGCTCTGCTGCTACCACCCATCTCACCATCTCACACTACAAAGCAACAGGCTCCCTGTCCCTCTCTTCTGCCTGCTTCCCCTTTCCCTTGCCCTGCACTTTCTCTCCACCTCCCTCCTTCCTCTCCTCCTCGATCTCCTCCCCTGCACTCTCATCCGACCCGCCTGACTCAGCAGCAAGGAACATCTTCCTCCTCCGATCCACCCCCTGTCTTGAATACTCCCTCCATCTCCTAGCCGCCGCTGCCGCCCGCCTGACTTTCTCCTGGTTGACAGGGTTACTGCTAGCAGCCTTATCAGACACGCCTTCCCCGTCGCCTCTCCAGGAGGATTTCTCCCCGCCCATCCCCATGGCTTCACCCATGGTCTCCCACAGCGGCTTGTTGTACTTGCCTGCCTTCCCGTCCCTTGCTGCCTGCGCCTTTGCCTTGGACTGGACGGAAGAGAGAGAGCGTGGAAGAGAGAGGGTGGAAGCGAGAAGGTTGAATGAAGAGGAGGGGAGAGAGCGAGGCAGCGGCTTGTCGTACTTGCCTGTCTTCCCGTCCCTTGCTGCCTGCGCCTTTGCCTTGGACGGTTGCAAAGGCAGGCGAATTGGGTTAGGGAAATTCGTGGGGGTGGAAAGCGGGAGGGAGGGTGGGGGGTGTCGGGGGGGGGATCAAATGTGCAACGAGGAAGGGGCATATAAGGACCTTTTGTGTCGTGTGCCATTGTAACGACGTGACTTTTGAGACGACTCAAAAGTCAGTGTGTAACGAGGAAGGGGCGTACAAGGACCTTTTGCCCACCACTGAAGAATACAGGAAGCAGGAGTTTCATGGTAGGGCATCTATCCTTGCTCCAAAATGCCACAACACCAACCCCAACTCACCAGTGCTTTGTTGCGCCGCTTCTCCCATCTGGAATTCGCCTGCATGAACACATCGGCCCCGCGGCTGCTCTGAGCCTGCATGATAGCGACGCTCACTCGCTCCATGCGCCTCATCTCGTCCTCTAGAAGCGCCAGCTGTGGCGATGTCACCCAGTGGATGCATGACACGGGGCTGATGGGATGAGGAGGCACACGGGCAGGAAAGAAGAGGGGCAGAGGGGAAAAGAGCAGGGAGGGAAGATGAGCGTGCATGACAGCGACGCTCAATCACTCCATGCACCCCATCTCGTCCTCTAGAAGAGCGAGCTGCGGCGATTTCACCCAGTGAATGCACGACACAGGGCCGATGGGGTGAGGAGTAGGGCAGGGAGGCAGAGAAGCAGGGAGCGGGTTTGTGGAGGGTGGGGAGGACGGGGGAGGGAATGGGGGGTTGCAAGCAAGCAGAGCAGAGCGAGAATGGGTACGAATGAAGATGAAACGTTGACTTCGTGTGACTCGAGAGCACAAAACATATGACCTGGTTTGACTGAATGGTAGACCTGCGTTGACTAGCGTTGAACGGCGTTCACTCACCATGTCTCAACGGCCTCCTGAATCTTGGCGGGCGGGTTGCCGCCCTGGTTGCACACGCGCGCACGGCCCCACATCTCCTCGATCTCGAATGTGTCCTCCGCGGTATTAGCGCAGTTCTTGCAACCTAATAACGGGAAACAAATATAGAGAAACCTTACAATGAATGTAGCGCCATTCACAAGAAGAATTTGGGATTGAAGGGGGGCGCTTTCTCAGCAATTTTTTTTTATGTACGTCCGCGGGAGATTCCAGCTGAAAGCATTGTCACTCACCAATGCATGTGAACTCGTCGACAAACACTTGGTCTTTCTCGTGTCGCGTGTCCATGAACGGATTAATCGACGTCAGCGAATATCCCTTAATTTCATCATACACGAGCCGCATCTCGGGATCACTCAGTACCTATATTGCCACGAAAATGATAGCAACCGAAAGCAAGAAGAACTTGGAAATGAGAAAACAATGTAGAGCAACGATGTGAATTGAGGGTGTTTTTGAGTCGTCTCAAAAACACCCTCAATTCACGAAAGCAAGAAGAACTTGGTAATGAGAACACAATGCAGAGCAACGATTACGATGACGCAGAGACAGGAAATCGCCGTAAAGATAAAAGGCAACCCTTTGCGGATAACTCATTAATGCGTACGGGATGCGGATTTGATAACGCACCTCGTAGACCTCGTTGACGAAGGAGCAGAAGGTGACGCTGTCGGGGTGGTTGTTGCTGAGATCTGGGTGACACGCCTTCATGCACGCGTAGTACGCGCGCTTGATCTCCTCGGGCGTCGCGTCGCAAGTCTGTTGGGAGGGAAAAGCGGGACCGTTGAAGACGGATAATATTTGAACTGACAGTTGAGTTACCTAAGGAAGCAAATGTTTTGCGTTCATTTCTGCCAAGCGAAATTTAAACGAGCGTTCCACGCTACATGCACAGCTTTCCACTGAATCGGCAAAAGGTAGGGTCGCAAGTCGGTAATTCATAGAGCAGGGTCGTAAGTCGGTAATTCATAGAGCAGGGTCGTCAGCACTGCTCTCCCCCTCAACAGAGTTAATTTGTTGGGAAGTTACGTGTTACAAAAGCCAGAAGTGTTTAGAGGCGACTCAAAAAACATCTCCAATCTTGACTTACCAAGCCGAGGATGGAGTAATAGTCGTCGGCGATGCTCTCCCCCTCAACATCAACCTCCTCCTCCGTCAACGCTCTCACGCGCAACCTCTCCGCTCCCCCGCTCCCGCTCCCGCTCTTCCCGCGCCAGCTGCGTAACCCAGCAGTTGAGCTTCCGCCGAGCGCTCTTCCCCCAAGCGCGCTTCGCAAAGCTGTCCTCCCAACAACGGAGGACGACGCGGTGCGGCATGAAGGGCTGTCCACGTGGCAGGATTGTCGGCACGTGGCTAGCGGGCCAACGCCGGACGGGAGGGTCGTGGTCGCCATGGTGCCTTGCGCCTTTTGCGAGTCGACGAGGAAAGTTCCCAACACGCGGAGGCGTGGATCGCGCCGCGCCTCAGCGATGAGTGATGAATATTGAACGGGAATATTATGGCTGCCGTGCACTGATGTGTTCTGTTAGAACAAGATTCAACTACGTTTGGAAGCCTGCATCGTTTATGGCTGACTGCTTTTCAACAAACGTAAGGTTGTTCGGGAAGCGAAGGGTTGTGCGTCAATATGGGAGGATTTTTTCTCAGTTCAGCCCAACGCTATCCCTACAGCTCACTAAAGTCAAGTTGAACGCATATGTTCGGATAGGGACGGTGCTGTTCAAGCTGAGTGAGGATGAAGAAAATGTGGTGTGTTAGGAGAATAAGGACTGAATTAGAGGTAAGTGCAGCCAAAAGTATCTTGGAAAAAATGACTGGAAGGGCGGTCAGGCGGAGGAATTCACAGCCCCTAGACTAGAGTCTAGAAGTACCCGCTGCTTCGACTGGACTCTCCATTGCGACTGACGTGACGACGGTTGGGCTCGCAGATTGTAGATTCCGCATCGGACGGTTTTCGTACCCTCAGACGGACGATCGTGCCATCTGGACGGCTAAGGTGGGCAGAACACATTGCTGTTGAATGTGGAACGGGGAAGGGGTCTGGGGTGCATGGTCGCCAGGTAACAAAATCCTGACTACAAGTGGTTATTCGCCAGCTGGAAATCTGATTGAGGAGGCGCAAACGAATCAAAACTGAAGCCGAATGGCTAAAGTGCGGGAGATTGGTTCGTAAGGCTCCATGGTTGTGGGGATTTTAGCAGAAAGCCATCATGGATTGCGGATCTGCCAGCAAATCACATGTCATTAGTGCTATCATGCGTTGATAGCTATTGGCTGGGCATGCAGAGGGCGAGGTGGACGCGAGGCAAGAGCGTGATGACGACCTGCAGGACACGTGGAACGTTTATACGCTACCGCAAACCTCGCTGTATCAATTCAGTAAGATACATTGGCGAATTTAAACATGCCTTGCAAGAGTTTGTATGGAATAACATGTCAAAAAACATCCTAACCTGAAGCTCTTAAAGACGGTAGAGAGGGGTGATTCCAAGAAGCTCAAAGCACTTGCGCATCACCACAGCCGTGGCTTCGCACAGGATGAGCCGACTATCCTCGTACTCGTTGCCAACCACTTGGCAGTTGGTGTAGAACGTTGTGAAGCTTCCAGAGAGGTTGTAGAGATACTCGCAGAGCGTGTTGGGAAGCAAATCCTGCACTGCACTCTCAACAACCTGATGGGAAGCCAAATGGCGGGGAACATAGGGAAATTTTGTTGTGTTTGGACGAGTTTAGCTACGTCATAGTTTGAAAATAAGAAATAAAAGCCGACAAAGAATGCACAACCCTGCTAGCTAGGTGCATCGTCACACATAATGCATATTAGAGCCAGACAACGTACCTCTGAGAATCGGCTGAGTTCGAGCGCGAGAGCCCTCTCACTCGGATGGTCCAATCTGAGCTTCGTTCCACTCTGAAGACGCAAAAAGGAGGTTGGGAAGGGGACCAAGGAGAGAAGCAAGTGGAAAGGATGGAGAAGAAATACATGTGTGTTTATGACTCAAGTGGTCCAACTGAGCTTGGTTCCACTCTGAAGCGGCGAAACAAAAGGGAGAGAATCGAGGCAGATGCAAAGGGAAAACAGAGCAGGTGAAATCTATCAGACACAGATTCAAATGCATAAGCACAGCACGCCGTGCTGCGAAGTGCTCTTTGAGATGCCTAAAAGCCTAGACCAATACACCTAGCTACAGTAGATTTGTGTAGTCGTCCATGGAAAATCACCACCCCACATAGGCCTCACTAAAGGCTCTGTTGTGCGCACCTGAACAATCTCCTCCACGTTCTTCCCAGATTTCACGAGTAGATATGTTATTTTTAGACGTCTCAAAAATTACCTATCTACACGTGGCTCTGTTGTGCGCACCTGAACAATCTCCTCTACGTTCTTCCCAGACTTGCGAATGATGGAGCAGATACGCGCATGCGCGTACAGCAGGTAGACCGCAGTGTTACCCTGGTGTGGCGGGAGAGAGAGGGGGGGAGATGGGTATATAATGGAAGTAGAAATAACACTGAACAACAGCAGGAAGCCGCTGCCAAGCAGATGCGCGCGGTGACTTTTGAGTCGACTCAAAAGTCACCTCATAAAAATAACGTTGAACAACAGCAGGAAGCCGCTGCCAAGCAGCTGTGCGCGTGTGCGTACCGCAGGTAGACCACAGTGTTGCCCTGGAAGGGAGAGGATTGGGGAGGGGTGGCGTGGGAGAGGAAAGTGGAATGGTACGAACAAGCTGCTGTTAACCATTGAAGCATGAGCATGTGCGTACAGCAGGCAGGTGCACATCACAACAGTGTTGCCCTCGTGCGAAGGGGGTTGGGAAGGGTGGGAGTTGGGAGAGGTGACTTTTTAGTCGACTCAAAAGTCACTCCATTGAAGCATGTGCGTACAGCAGGTGCACACCAGAACAATATTGCCCTGGTGTGAAGGGGGTTGGGAAGGGTGGGGGTTGGGAGAGGAAAGTGTGCAGTACAGCAGGTGGACAGGCTGCTGTTGACCATCCAAGCATGCGCGTGCAGCAGGTGCACAGCAGCGTTGCGCAAAATAGGAGGAGAGGGGATTCAGGGGAGGGAGAAGAGGAAAGGGAGGAACGGGGGAAAGCGGCGAAGGAGGGTGCAGCAGGAAGGAGCAATTGGCATGCAGTTAAATAAACAAAAGCATCGTAGTACAGCAGGTAAACCATGTGTAGGCCAAACAAAAAAGAAAGCTAAAATGGCATAATGGGACCATATATCCTCACCTTCATATCGAGCATTCGGTCGTAGTCAAATGTATAGTTGATCCGCACTCACAGCAGAGCACAAGCACAACAGCATAGAATCACATCTCCATCCATCCTCACCTTCATATCGAGCATTCGGTCATAGTCAAATGTATAGTTGGCCCGCACTCACAGCAGAGCACAAGCACAACAGCATAGAATCACATCTCCATCCATCCTCGCCTTCATATCGAGCATTCGGTCGTAGTCAAATGTATAGTTGGTCCGCACTGACAGCACAGTATCACCAGCACAATGGCATGTAGTCACAGCTCCGTTAGATCTCACCTTCATATCGAGCATTTGGTCGTAGTCAAACGTGTAGTTAGTAAGCCGATTGTTCTTCAAATCAGCGTATCTGCGATCAATCATGCGTTGACGTGACGACAGGGGGGACATGTGTTAGGGGTATCAACAAGCATCGCAACAATTGGCCTCGTGGCCCACGGCTGAAACTGCTGCATTGAGCTTTGTTTTGAGCATATTTCCTACCTGACCACACCTGAGCGCTAAAAAACAAGGGATTTGTGAGAAGACTTAACTACACCTGACAGCCAAACCACAACTCCAGAGCTTCCTTTCATAAAACCAAATCCCACACTGCCACTCACTTGACTGCCCCATAGCCCAGTGCAGCGGCTGCTGCATTGACCTCCGCAGCCCACCTGTTTACTACTTACAGCGCTGCAGCATTGACCAAATCCCAAATCCCACACTGCCACTCACTTGACTGCCCCATAGCCCAGTGCAGCGGCTGCTGCGTTGACCTCCTCCTCCTTCCACTCGCCCTCCCGACCTTATGGGGCGGAAATGAAGTGATGGAAAACGGCGGGGCAGAGGGAGCATTCGTTGTGAGACGTAAAAACTAGATTGCAGTGATCACAACAAAGGTGTAGGAGGGGGAGGCAGGAAGTAAGAGCGATTGCAACCAAAAAAAGCAGAGCTTGATTTTCAGTTGCATCTGCTAGCAGCAAGACAAGGGGATATATTCTGCAGCTGCTCTGCTCCTCACCACCTAGCTGCTGCGCGTGCGGTATCCCATTTTACCCTTCCCATCATCGCCCAGCACCAGCCCGAACCCCACATGGTCCACACAGATAGCGGGTGCATTCGTTGCTGCCTCTTCATAATGTTGCAGGTTGTTTTTGAGAATTCTCAGGAACAACCCACTTCAATATGCGCCGCTTCCCATCCTCGCCCAGCACCAGTTTTGAGGCGCCTCAAAAGTTGTTTTTGAGAATTCTCAGAGACAACCCACTTCAATATGCGCTTTTTGAGGCGCCTCAAAAGGCGCCTCAGAAGTTGTTTTTGAGAATTCTCAGAGACAACCCACTTCAATATGCGCTTTTTGAGGCGCCTCAAAAGGCGCCTCAGAAGTTGTTTTTGAGAATTCTCAGAGACAACCTACTTCAATATGGGCTTCCCATCCTCGCCCAGTTTTTGAGGTGCCTAAAAAATCGTCTCAGTTTTTGAGGCGCCTCAAAAATCGTCTCAGTTCTTGAGGCGCCTCAAGAAACCACCAACTACTTCAATATGCGCTTCCCATGCCCAGCGGCAGCCTTAGCCCCCTTCCTTCTCCCTCCACCCCCCCCGCACCTCTTTCCCCACGAACACTATTTCCCACCCACCTATCTTGCTCAACCAGCCCCTGGCGCGGGTAGCAGCCTCATCAAGCAGGTCAACCAGCCGCACCACCTCGCTGCTGCTGCTACGAGTCGCTTAGGGGGGCCGGCCTTTTCCCATCCAGCCATGCACCCACCTCGCTCAACGAGCCCCTGCTTGGCGCGGGTAACAGCCTCGTCCAGCAGGTCGACCAGCCGCACCACCTCGCTGCTGCTGCTGCTACACCCACCTCTCCCTTCCATCCACTAACTCTTTTTCTAATTACTCACCTCGCTCAACGAGCCCCTGCTTGGCGCGAGTAACCGCCTCGTCAAGCAGGTCCACCAGCCGCACCACTTCACTGCTGCGCGTGCGGAACCGCTTCCCATCGTCGCCCAGCACCAGACCGAACCCCACATGGTCCACTCGGATAGCAGGCGCATTTGCTGCTGCTGCTCCTTCAGTTGCAGCCTTGCCCTTCTTGGCCTTGCCCGCATAGAAGCCTGCCTTTTGGGCTGCCTGGAGGAGGGAC